ACACCTTGGACTTCCACTCTTCACCAACTGGCTAAGAGTAACTGACTGAAAAGTGTACATCAACATTCTTGGTTTCAGAATTGGCAGGACTGAATTTAGTTGCAGGTCAAACAAGTGATCATGCCAAGATTTTAACTGCCACTGACCCAAATTTTTTTTTTTTTTTTTTATTGATGTAGATAGAAATGATAGGAAGACTCAATTAGAAGCTTGCAGATTCATAATACGTACAGAATCAAGTGGTTGATCCCTTTTTGATCCTATTACTGTAGTAGGAGAAATGTTATTTCTTGAGCATTCCTTATTACTGCCAAAGAAATTCAAATGGTATATATTAATCAGGTGCTTTAAATGGATTCAAAGTAATTCCTTCTAATTTAACTGAACATTTCTAGAAAGGGGAAATTACCTGAGTCTTCACATGCAGCTAGCTTTCATTTTCCGATGGAGACCTAAAGAAAAAGATTGGAAATGTTAACTTAATGATAATTGTACAAAATGGAATATGTAAACCAAACAGATAATTAAGAGACTTCTATATATCTTACTTATTAATAATTGTTGATGGCACTGAGCTCCTGGAAGATCCTGAGCCATCCAAGACTAGTCCAGCAGAGGTGGCTTCTATATATCTTACTCATTGATAATCGTTGATATATATAGTAAAAGCATGTTTGGATGTCCCACTAAAATCTAATGTTCTTGTTGACATTTAACTGCATTTTTTTTCTTCTTGTTTTTATCACTATTATTTTCTTTAGTAAAGGCATCTTTGGCAAGCGCATGGTATATACTATACATTTATGTACCAGAATCATAAATTCAGACAAAGGCAGGCCTCAAGCAGCAAGACTACATATGTTACAATATATAAAATGAATGAATGAAAGAATTGCGAGTCAAAAAATTTGCCAATGGACCATGTTATGAATGCACCAGGAAAACCTAGGCCACATAAAAGAAACATGTATAGGCAGTACAGCTAAATATACAATACAACATGACATATGTAGTGAAAGAATATGTTGATGGTCCCCATTATGAAAAGGCTATAGTAAAAACATTTGTATTGGATTGAAGTATAGAAATTACATTCAACTAAACAAACATATGCATAAAGAAATGTGATATTTGAACTTAGCAAGCAGATCCACAAGCTTCTAATTGAGTCTTCCTATCATTTCTATCCTCAATAGTGGAGCTTTCGGAAATCAGTGGCTTCGGTAGAAGGGTTGGGCTTGGAGAGAAAGAGGCATGGGTCAGGCTTGGAAATTTGAGAGAAAGGGGATTTGCAGATCGAGTATAGATCGCGCGAGAAAGGGGCCAGCTTTGGAGATATATATTTTTCTGAGTATATATGTTATGGGTGGTTTCTGTGTGAGTTATATTTTTGTTTATAATTTTTTTTTTTTTTAATGAAACTAACGGGAATAAGACGCGCCTAAGTGTGACACAAAATAATTCACTTTCCATCACGGTTATTTTAAAATCGTGATAGATAGCGAGTGGGTACTACCACAATTTTTTGTGGTGAAAGAACCTTCTACCACGGTTTTAAAATAACCATTGTAAAAAATATATTTTCTATTACGGTTATTTTAAAGCTTTGGTAAAAGACTTTTTTTACCACGATTATTTTAAAACTATGGTAAAAAATGTTTTCAAAGTTTGTTAATTAACTTTTGCAAAGTTTACACTTAAAAAAAATTATGTGATTATAAATTTAATTTTAAAAGATTGCTTGATAAATAAAATTAAAATATCCAGATATATGAAGAGTTCAAGAAAAGACAATTTTGATAACCTCATTTTTTTTAACCCATCAACTTGCCTATATTTGCCCCTTTTTAAAGAATTTGGTTGTTAAATCCTATAGGGTTGGACAACATAAACCTGTTACATCAACACATAGTCTCAACTTGGCTTATAAGTTGTTTCCCAAAACATAGCACTACTTTGTATATCTATACATTCCTTTAATTTTTTCCAACATCCATATAATATATTCACTTTGTAATTTCATCGATCATATGGTGTACAAGGGCGAACAAAACCCACAAAAAGGGGTATATATGCATACATATATATATACACACACACACACACACAAGTATACATGTAGCTTACTAAACTGAATATTAGATTTTGTTTCGGTTGCCATGAGGTTGTGTGAGAGAAGGTGATCAGTTTAACAAACCCTTCAACAGTTGAACTGCGAGATTTTACATTTAACCCCTTTTAACTAATTTAATTATTTCAAGGAATTTTTTTTTTGGTAATTCATCAGTGCTTATGAGACTACCATATGCTAAAAATATAATTTTAAATTTTGTATATTAACTCTTTTGCCGAATCAACACACTTATGATACATAGCCTTCTTGTCTGTGTTGCTACCCAAAAATAAATCCCTTACTTGTCTTTTAATGATGTTTTAGATTCCCATAGGAATTAAAAAATAATTTGTCCACTAAGCCATCCTTTGGATTGAGAGATTTGAAAAGAAAAGGAAAGAAAGGAGAGTAGAAATCGTGATTGGATAACTAAAAGAAAGGATTGGGTCCCTCTAAATCTCTCATTTGCTATTTTTCAAAAAATGAGAAGGTTTGAAGAGAGAGAATAATGAGTAAATAGTATTTTCATAATCCCAAAATTACCCTTTTATAATATTTGACTCTCATCTTACAAAAAAAAAAAAAAAATATGTGATATTAATTTAATTCGTATCATTTCTTTTCTTTTCTCTCCTTTATCTTTTCCAAACAAAAAATACTATCATTTCTTTTATTTTCCCTCATAATTTATTCAAAGGTTAGGACTATTCTTTCTTTTCTCTTATAACTAATGCTATCATGTCTTTTCTTTTCTTTTTTTCTTTTCTTTTCTATCCTGCTTATCCAAATGAACAATGTCTCTTCTGCTTGAAAATTAAATATCACAAGATACTTCTCCTCCTCCTCACACAAGACTCTTTTCAGTGCTGACTTGCAGCCCAGAGTAATCTACAAACTGATCAAGAATCTCCATCACACCTTTTGCATTTCTCACACTAACTTTCAAGATGAAGAACAAATCATCAATAAATAAAAATTAAAAAAAATGGGAGATCTTAGAGACCTTTCTTTTCACTGCATTGCAAAGCTCCAACGGACCTACAATCACCTTATTCGTCACCATCTGAGAGAAGTCTACGACGAGAAAAAAGTAAAGGGGATAATGTGTAATTCTTAGGGTGTGAATTTTGTTCACTGGTCCTAATCGTATCGTATCGATTTAAGGGTATTATACTAAATGGCTTATATCGAATACGACCAGTTTAATATTCGTGTCAGAGACCTCAACACTAAGCCAACTTGTAATTAAGAGAGAAGCAACCACGACAACGATGGTGCTCAAACGAAAGAGGGAAAAGAATGTTCAGCTCTTTGCTGCCTTCAAAATTCATCGTTAAGCGGTGATAAAGGTACCTTGGTCAGCAGCGGCGAACAGTTGGCTTACACGGCGTCAGCTACTCCTTCGTTGTCTTCACAAAAGGAACATCTTTCTCTACAAATCACAACCCTTATCCCAAATATAATATATATATATATATATATATATATATATATATATATATAGATAATCCCGTTCAGTTGCTCCCTGGTGTGAGCAATATACGCGACTTCTATTTCCGTCGTTGGATTTCATCAAATAAATCCAACAACTGAAATTAAAAACAACTATTTTAGTTGTTTCTGCTTAAGATTCCAAATCCACTCAATTTCAGTGTTTTAAATAAAATAAAACACTTTATAATAAAGAGTATTAATAATAAAAATAAATAAATAAATATTTCCACTAAAATCGTGTAGTCTTTCTATTATGGAAAAAATATATAAAAAATAAAATCTATTGGTACAACTTTTTTTTTCTTTTTTCTAGTTCTTTTCTTTATATTCATGTTCTGGTGAAAAGTTTCATTTCAAACAGTGCAAGTTTTGTTACTGCATACTCGAATAAATTTCTCGCAGAGATTAGTATCTCACTCAACATACTCTTTCCTCGATGCATGACTATGAATAGCTTCACATGGGAGACATTTTTTTTAGTTCGTATCCTTGTATAATCAATTTGTTTCTCTAATTGTTGAAGTTTTTTTCCTATCTAAAATTAAAAATGAAAGAAAAAAGAGAAAAAAAATTTGAGAGTTATCATCACAACTGATGGTATAAAATAATTCTTAGATTTTTTTCAAAAAGTGAAGAAGAAGAAAAGATAAGACCGTCAAAAGAATTGACTTCTAATACATAAAACCATCATAAAAGAATCATTTTAATATACAAATATAATCTATATGACTTGGCAGGACATTCAAAGGTAAGGAACGAAAAAAAAAAATGAATTAACTCTTCTGAATCAGATCGAAATGGATAACTCTTCTGAATCAGTAAAAATAGAAAATGGTCTGAGTATATTACCTTAATTGTCTATTATGAGTGTTTTATTTTATTTAAAATACTTAAATTTAGTGGTTTTAGAATCTTAAAAAACCAAAAACAATTAAAAAGTTGTTTTCAATTTCAGTCATTGCAGTCCTGTTCAGTTGCTCCGACTTCTATTTCAGTAGTTGAATTTCATCCAATAAATCCAACAACTAAAATTAAAAACAACTATTTGAGTTGATTCTGCTTAAGATTCCAAAACCACTCAATTTCAATGTTTTAAATAAAATAAAACACCTTATAATAAAGAGTATTAATAATAAAGAAATAAATATTTCCACTAAAATCATGTAGTCTTTCTATTATGGAAAAACTCTTTCACATACCAAGGGCCTTGTGGCTCAATGATATCTCCTTTTATCTCCCAAAGTGAATAGTGAAGACACAGCAAAGTAATGTGTGAGTACTGCGTATGAATTTCTTGCCACGAAGAAAGAACCAACCAAGCCCAGTTTAAGAGATGACTTGAATAGGGCAAATTGGTCATAATATATCAAAGAATAAATTTGAAGCATCAATATCAACTTCAAAAAATATATATATATTAAAACACTCTCACTTGCAAGAAAAAGAAAGCACACACGGCAACATGATTGTTAAAATCAAATAATGCATCCTACTCTCAAATTACATACAGATGCCTACCTTATTGGAAACAAAAGTCCTACTATGAAAACTAAAATTCTTTATAAGTCATATAGATCACCATATCAAATTTACGCCCAAAAAAAATAAAATAAAATAAAATTATAATAATCTATAATTTCTTCAGAGAGAATTCATGGGAATTACCACTTTCGAATGGATCGTTCATCTTCGTAGGGTATCATAAGATCTCGTAATATTGTTGCAAGTGCAAGGAGAAGACCGGCCGATTCGGTTGCATGATCAACACAAGAATCATCTGCCACTCCTAATATAACGTATCCTCAACCTGCATATATGCAGCATCACACACAAACGGAATTTTGTGTGCATACATCCCAGAAAGTGCGCACCTCAGGCACTCCAGAACCGTGAAAAGGTAAACAAAAGTGACAGCAGACCAATAATGCATACCAATCTTAGGAAAATATACAGCGACTGGCATCCAATTGCTTACAGTCCACATCACCTGCAAGACGATCTCCAGTAGCATGCCCATCGTCACATGAAACCTAAAGAACTGGGGCCATTCCTTGTTCTTCACCACTCCAAAATATGTAGCAAAGAAATATGCCATTGTAAACCAGCTCGGAAAACTACAAAGAGCAAGCCTGAAACGGTATGTAAAGCATTCTATGTTCTCAAAAAATGGGTGGAGACGATATGCCGTCTCACGAAACATCCATGGCTCATGGAGGGGCATTAAATAGGGTAGGCACGCTAAAGTCCTCCACCACCATCTTGGCCTCTCCGCCATTGCGGCAGGATTCCGGAAACTGTAAGGAACATCCTTCGATGCTGCTCTTGGGGAAATAAAAGATCTCCGCCGCCTGGTTAGCATGAGTTTTCGATTTGACAAGCCACCTTGATCACCACTTAAAAGTGGCATTGATGCAGCAGAAATATGCAGATGTGCAGGTCCTGCAGCAGAATTTATACACATACACATATATAAATACACACACACACATATATATATAGAGAGAGAGAGAGAGAGATAAAAAGAAGGAATACAAACACTGACATACAATCTTCAAGTTGCTAACAAAATTCAGCTTTATCTAAATGAGGAATGATTTGCATATTCTTGTTAAAAAGAAGAATAGACCATATGAAGAATTTAATCCATTTGAAATGAGGCCAAAAACAGGAAATTCTTTTATTATACTCTTTTCAAGCAGCCAAAAAAAAAAAATTCCTGTTTTTGGCCTCATTTAAAATAAAAAATGACGCGTGCATCCTGATTAGTTAACAATATGCAATATTATTCTGTTACATGAATAATGCAGGATATTTGTTTGAAATATGGCTGTCAACCAGCTGCAAAAGAGTCCCATTCTTGATGGTTCATAATTATCCATAAAGCAAAGAGCAATTGACATAAAAGTAGAAGAAGCCAAGCCGTTGTCAAGTACATTTACATACCTCCAAAAGATAAGGATTTTAATTGACGAGGTCCCCATGAACTCCTAATGCTAGAGGATGGAACTTTGGCAGGCAAACAAGGAACACTGGTAGAAGCTGAGTAAGAAGACCTGGTGTTACATTTCTTATAATTCATTACAACGCTCCCAGAGAGCGGGGAGCATCCGCTTAGTATCATACTCAAGTACGTTGATCAGACCTAACATCATAAGAACAATATAGAACTTTGATCAGAAATCAGAATAAAATTAGCAAAACTACCAAAAAGCAATTGAAAAATGTATATTTTGTTCTCCAGTCTAACAATGTCTCTGATGAAATATTATTTTCCAACTAATCTTGTCTAGCTAAATAGCAAAGAAACCCTGAACATATTCACACTTATCCATTGTTAAAAGTTAACATTATCTACCACAATCTCAAAAAAAAAAAACCAATCTTCTATTTATTTATAGCAGCAATTACCTACGCAATAAATTGAAGGCTTCTGTAACCAGAGACCATAGGCTATTGACTATCATCATTGTAAGCCAGAAAGTGTCCGCTAACCCCAAGGAATTGGCATGTGTGTGGGTGTGTGGGTGTGTGGGTGTGTGAGAGAGAGAGAGATGACACTAAGTCCAACTTCTCGTCTTGAAAGAAAAGAGTAAAATGATGTACTTTAGGAAATAAAAGAAGTGTAAAATGATGTACTTTAGGAAGTAAAACAACTTGCATTTTATTAAAAAGAGGTTCTCAATCACAAGAATTGAATGCCAACACTTTGGTAAGGCACCAGTGACAAGATGTGGAACTAATTGGAATAATAAGAACCCAAAATAGGGTTATCTTATCCAAGTACTTCCACATGATCTCTTCACAGCCAAAATATCATGGTAAAATCAGTTTTGCGATTTATCCAAAAATAAATAAATAAATAAATAAAAATTAAGGGTATAATAAATGAATCTGGACCAATATTTTAATTGCAATCTTCCTGCCATAGAGGCCTACATACTCAAATTTCAATATTTTTCTCCATAAAAAAAAATAAAAAAATAAAAATAAAAAAACACGACTCCCATGGTGTAAGAAACTGTCGCACATGCCATCTTCTAAAGAACTTGGGACATCAATAACATTTTACGAAAAATGATTACCAAAAGTTTCTAATATGAATGTCAAACACAACAGCCACATTGAGATTCCTTCCTGTAACCCAATAAAATTTGAATTATATTGCCTGACCTAACCCAAAAACCTAGGCTTCATTTATATACAATGTTGGGAGGAAACTTAGACTTAGATTTAGTGTGCCTTGCGATGTGTAGACATAGTAGACTTGGGCCTACCGTCAATTTGAAAGCTTTACACATATATAAGAAAGCTTATATATGTGTAAAGCTTAAATTAGTAGGTGTAATGGCTTATATCAGTGGGAGTAGAGAATGGGTATTGAACATGTTTGATTGCACTATATTAAATTTATGATTAGCTTGATTGGTGGTTTAGTTTGACGAGGAAACTAATCATTATTATTATACATATATATAATGGATCAGAACCTAGCTAATACGTGATTGATGAAGAAGACCCAATTTGGAGTCTACTGTGCAAATTAAAACCTTATTTCTTTTATTTAATTATTATTTTTTTAAAATTGATTTAAATTGAAGGAAATTATGAAAAATAGATTTGTTATCCCAAAAATTGAGAAAAAATCCAGAATATTAGTTTTAAGTATAATGAACTTAGGTATCAGTACTCAAACTCAAAGGAGTACCAAAGGCTGCATGAAAACTACTCCAAAACCGAGATTGATTAATCATCTCTCCTCGTCACTTATCGTTTTTGGGACTTAGATGGTTAGTAGGGTGTTAGAGAGGCAATGAGCTTCTAATTCTTAGTTTTATGCATTGTTAAGTACACATTTATTTTTGAGTATGTGAAGTCAATATACACCACAACCATATGTCTACAATCTTCTATCTACTCCAAAACCACCCACCATCGCCACCATCACTCACCCTTGCCCACCCCTTCTTTCTCTCTCTCTCTACTCACCAGTCACCACCGCAACCTCCACAACCACCACTCACCACCATCGCAACCTCCACATCCACCCCAACTTAGGCCCACCACCACCCACCTTCACCTCCACCACCACCACCACCACCATCCATGAAATCCTCAAATAGAAGAACGAATAAGCCAATACCAAATCAAAACCAGAGAAGACCAACTCGCCGACGTTATGTTCACGCATCGCCATCACCGTCATGAGCCATTAATCATGAACTTGCCATCGCCATGAACCACGTCGTCATGAACGTGCCACCGCCATGAACCAACTTGCCGTCGTGATTAAACCTGAACCTCACCGCGAACCAACCTCGTCGTTGTCGTCGAAGAATCCAAGACCCAGGTTGCCGTCAGAGTTGTAGCGATGGATATCGCGATTTACACGCACCAATAGCAGTGACGCGTCAGATCTATTCACACCAACAATAAGGGCACATTACATTCACACATCGCCGCCGTCAATATCTCTTACACTCGCTCTGGTCCGATCCTGAAGTGTCAACGTAGCTATGGTGATCGATTGGAGGACGTTGTCGTGGACAGTGACGATGCCGGCACCTTCTTGGCCACGATGTTGAAGCGCGTGGAGTGTGAGGTAGCAGAGACGGGAGGCTTCTGGGTCGCCGTAAATGCCAATGCCACACTCTTCTCGGGGCTTTTCGTCATCATCAAAACTGAAAGAATGGTGATCTGGGTTTAGTTTATATTAGGAGATGATGTCAGAAATGGGGTTTTTGGAGGAGATTATGAGGAGGGTTTTGTGGATATGTGAAAAAGAGGGTTGGGAGGGCATAATGAGGGTTTTGGAAGGGTTTTTGGGTACAAAGAGAAGGGTTTTGGAGATGGGTCTGATTCCGGGACTAGCATGTTGGTGGTGATGGCGATGGAGCGGTGACAATGGTGTCTGGGTTGGGGCTGTGACAGTGGTGTCTAGGTTGCTATGACAAGGATATTCCAGCCATGGGAAGAAGGTTTGGAGAGAGAAAATATGTGGTATATATTGAATGAGGGTATTTTAGTTATTCTAAGTGGTATACAATATTTTATTGCGGGGCATATTAGACATTTTGTATCACTTAAGGCAGGGCAGTGTTTGGCACTATATTTATAAAATGGGGTGTCATTGTCTAAGATTGCATACTTTGGGGGGCAATTGGATCACACTCTCCCCAAGTTGTATACGAGTGTCTTTTAGACAAATCTGGGGGGTGTGAGTGCAATTTACCCATAAATAAAATAAAATAAAAATAAAAATAAAAATAAAAAACTGAATAGAAACTAATTGACACAATTTTCAATGATATTGAATCACAATATATGCGTACCGAGAGCTCTTCCTCCTATTGGAAAGCAATTAACTACACTGCATTCACTTTTACTATTGCACCTCCTTCTGATTCTCATTCTGCAAGGTCTTCAAAATGAGAATAATTTTCAGACTGCTTCTAGAGACTTGCTTGAAGAATTTGTGGAGCTATAGAATGCTAACAAAAATTGATTGAAAGGCTTAGGTAAGTTAACATTGAAGAGATGCCTTCAAACTAAGAACCTCACATAATTTGCTCTGATTAGTGGCAGGGATTCACCTACTCTTTTGAGGTTGGATAGATTCTTGATTACAAGGGATTGGGAGGAGAAATTTCCAGATGTTGTTCAAGCAGCTTTGGCTAAGGTAACTTCAGATCATATTCCGTTGGTTTTGGATTGTGGGGATTTGAGAGCTCGAAGATCCCCTTTTAGATTTGAGGATATGTGGCTCAAAGCAGATAACTTTAAGGGGAGGGTTCGGATCTAGTGGGAGGAGGCTCCGATGGTTGGCTCTCAGAGTTTTGTTTTAGCTGGGAAACTTCGCTTCCTGAAGACTGAGCTCAAAAGATGGAATAAGAAGGTGTTCAAGAATTTAGAATGGAGGAAGAAAAGGGCGGTTGCTGATATTGCTGAGATTGATTGGTTGGAAGGGGTGGGCGGTATTGTGGATTTTCAGCGTACCCAGAGAGCAAAGAGTCAGGCGGAGTTTGCGTAGATTGCCATTAGGGAGGAGACTTCATGGCGACAGAAATCCCGGGCTCTATGGCTCAAAGGCGGAGACCGCAATACGAAATTCTTTCATAGGCTCGCTAATGCCAATAGGAAGGACAACCATATTGGGCGGATAAGTGTGGATGGAGTGGAGATATGTAGGAAGGAGGACGTGTGTAGGGGGATTGTTTCTTATTATCAGAGGCTCCACTCTGAGACTGTTGGTTGGAGACGCAGGCTCGGTGGTCTTCATTTTGATTCAATCTCAGTGTTGGAGAGGGATGTGCTTGAGAGTCCTTTTTTTTTAGGAGGAAATGTTAAAGGCGTTTAAGAGCTGCAATGGTGGCAAGTCTCCAAGTCCGGACGGATTTAATATGAGATTTTTGCTGGAGAGCTGGGAAGTGGTTAGAAGTGAGGTTATGGGCACTTTTCAGAAGTTTTATTCTCATAGGCGGTTTGAGAAGTCGTTGAACACTTCCTTCATTGCCCTCATCCCTAAGAAGGGTGGAGTTTCTGATGTTAAGGATTTTAGACTAATAAGTCTTATGGGGTGTATTTATAAGCTTATTGCTAAAGTTCTTACTTTAAGAATGAGGGAGGTGCTTGATGGGGCTATTTCAGAGTCCCATAACGCTTTTGTTGGTGGTCGACAGATTCTTGACTCCGTTCTTATTGCCAGTGAGTGTGTGGATTCTAGGCTGAGCAGTGGTGTACCGAGAGTTCTGTGCAAGCTTGATATCGAGAAGACGTATGATCATGTCAGTTGAAGCTTTCTGTTGTATCTGCTTGGGAAGTTGCGTTTTGGAGAGATATGGAGGAGGTGGATTGAAGCTTGTATTTCCTCAGTTAGATTCTCTATTCTAGTGAATGGATCTCCTACAGGTTTCTTTGGTAGCTCTCGTGGTTTGAGACAAGGCGATCTATCATCTATCTCCGTTTTTATTCCTCATTATTATGAGTTGTTGGGTAGGGCAGAGGATCTGGGTTTTATCAGGGGCTTTAGGGTCGGTAGAGACTTGGGTCATCAGATGGAGATCTCTCATTTACTGTTTGCGAATGACACTTTGGTTTTTTGTGATGTTGATGTGTCCCAGTTAAGATATTTGAGGTGTGTCCTAGTTTATTTTCAGGCAGTTTCTGGTTTGAAAATTAATGTAGGAAAGAGTATGCTTACCCCTGTAAGGGAGGTTCAGGACACCGCATCTCTTGCTGCAGTTCTTGGGTGTGGGGTGGGCTCTTTTCCTATCTCCTATTTAGGTTTGTCGTTGGGTGCTCCGTCAAGGAGGCTGGGAGGTTAGGATCGTGTGATTGAGCGATTTGAAAGGAGACTGGCTGGTTGGAAGAAGCAGTATCTTTCAAAGGACGGGAAGGTTACTCTTTTGAACAGTACGCTATCGAGCCTCCCTGCATACTTTCTCTCCCTTTTTCAGGTTCCCGTCTCGGTAGTTGAAAGGATTGATAGACTTCAACGGAACTTCCTTTGGGGTGAACGGGGTAAGGAGTTCAAGTATCATCTTGTTCGTTGGGATCAAGCGCGCAGGCCTATTCCGTTGGGAGGTTAGGGCATTAGGAGGTTGGCCCCTTTCAACAGGGCTCTTCTGGGAAAGTGATTGTGGAGATTCGGAAGTGAGCGTCATTGTCTTTGGAGGAAGGTGGTTGTGTGCAGCTACCGGAGGAGAGAGGTGGTTGATCCTCTGATCTGGTCAGATTCACTGGAGGTGTGGGTGTTTGGAAATTCATTCGTAAGGGATGGGATGAATTTTCTAAGCATATTAGATTCAGAGTACGGAATGGCAGGGGAGTTCAGTTCTAGGAGGATTTATGGTGTGGTGATCGCCCGTTGGCTCGTTCCTTTCCAGACTTTTCCGGATTGCCGTGGATAGACAAGCTTTGGTAGCCTATTGTTATCAACTCGATAATGGTAGGCTTGCGTGGGATGTGCATTTTCGGCATTCCTTTTAGGATTGGGAGTTAGATGAGGTTGCAGGTTTATTGGAGCTGTTGTACGGATGGAAGGTAGATGGTAGTGGCGCTGACTCTCTGGTTTGGGTGCCTTTCTCTAAGGGGAGATTCGAGGTTCGTTCCCTATTCCATTGTCTCTTTGTTTTTCATGGTTCTAATTTCCCTTGGAAGACAGTATGGTGCTCCAAGGCTCCCCTCAAAGTGGCCTTCTTTGTATGGACTGCTGTTTGGGGGCAAGATTCTGACCCTGGATAATTTGAGGAAGAGAATACAGATTACAATCAATTGGTGTTGTTTGTGCAAGAGGAGTGGCGAGTATGTGGATCACCTTCTTTTGCACTACCCTGTAACTCACGACTGTTGGAGCCTTATCCTTGGCCTTTTCGGCATTCATTGGGTTATGCCTCGGTCCTCGAGGGGTTTGAGTGACGCTTGGCGAGGCTGTAGTGTGGGAGCCCATGCTCGTGAGTGTTGGAGGGTGGTTCCCTTTTGAGTTTGGTGGTGCTTATGAAATGAGCGGAATAGAATATATTTTGAAGGGGAGGAATCTTCCTTAGGGGTTTTGAAGTTTTATATTATTAGCTCTCTTTTTAGTTGGGTTTTGGGAAGAAATTGTATATCCATTGACAAGTTTATTGATTTTTTGGGTTCGGTGGATCCTTAGGACCTTGTCTCCGGCTTTGGCCTCTGTATAGCTCTTGGGACGTGTTCCTCGTTTGAACGCTTTCTAATACATTGTACTTGTCAAATATATATATATATATATATATATATATATATATATATATTTGTGAAATTTCTGAAACTTGAAATTAGTTTAATAATAGATGTTCAACAAACTTTAAATAGAAAAAGTGAAATATTAAAAATTGAATTGAGAAAATCTAAACACACTAATCAGTGTCACTAAGGAAACTCAGAAGTTGGAAATTTTTCTTGGTATTTCAAATCAGCAGAAAACAAGACATAGGGATGTTTGCATATTGTAACAGGAAGATCCACAGTGTGAACTAATAGTTGTTCCTATTCTTACCTGTAGGTATATCTACTCATAGTTGGGTTCACTATTCACACGATCTTACTCTTCCCTCCTCTAGTACTACACCTGTGCTTATTAGGGAATATCTTTCTGTTATTGGTGATCCTTCTAGTGATCTATTCATTTTCCAACATATATTTACTGTGGAAAGAAGGGTTCGAAATTTCAATGTTAATTAAGGAATAGAGATCTATCCAAAGAAAAAACTATCATCTTTTGGAAATGAAGAGACTGAAAAAAAAAAAATGTGTTTCAAAAACATAATACATAGAAAAATGAAAATTTGAAATTGACCAAATGGGGAACAGAATCAACCGATGCTCAACTTTAAAGGAGAAAGAAAATCTTGAATAGCAAATAAGTCACACCTACTCCTAAGTCAATACAATGACTGAACTCAAAAAGGTATGGTTTAGGAAAGATGAGATGGAAAGCATTGTAAATTTGCCGTTCAATGCCCTTGAGATTTTAGTATTTTATTTTGAGCTAGGAATTAAATAGAACATAAAATACTGGTTGCCACAAAAAAACAGCCATTGGAGCTTCCTAACCATCTAGGAGTTTTATGCGAGAAGGTATAATGCCAAAGAAAATTCTAGCCCTAAGTTCAGATTGTGAAGTTCTGATTTTCTATTTTTTGGGATTAACTTTAAAACCTGGGCTTTTGTACTTTTACTTCCAATTAAAAATGGAATGGAGGCTTAAAAGATGAAATAAATATTCATTTAATTAACAGAACAATGAGATGTATAGGATCACCAATGGGATTGCGATCCACAATCGTATGTGCCATGATCTCACCGATCCCACTTCAATCTTTGACTATGAACGATTTTTTGAGACCCGGATACATTTCACAAATTTGCCTTGTAGGATCATACGATCCGGATCATGATTTTGATAACTATAATACTAGACTACGTCCCTGAAGTAAGTGGATAAGTCTGATTGACTTTCAAATTCTTGCTGCCATTTATTTAATGGCTTTTGAGTTTTCTCAACGGTGGTATTTTTGATATAGAGGTTTTTTTCCTGAGGCTTGAATTTCTAATATATCTGGGGCTTTTTCTTTTGGGGTTTCAGTAATATTTTCGAAGAGCCAATTTCAAGGTATTTCTACAAATGGACCAATTTAATAATCGGGGCTGGATTATTGAATCATAGGGTCTTGGATCAAAAAGCTCATATAGCTTTTTGAGCTTTTTGTCTATAGGCTTTGTGGACGTCTCTGGTACCTTTGTTAATTCGTGGAGGGTCTTCCACTGAATTCCAAAGTCGAATGAGTCATGATCCATTCCGAGATTTGGAAGTTTGATCTTGATCTTAATTATTTTTTTAATATTTGGATCATCTATAACAATAAAAAAAATTCGGTTTGATGTCAAACCAAATGACACCATTGACTTAATTAGATTGAACTTCACCTATGAGAGTTTTAAAAGGATCACGAATCTGTTATCCATAACTAAAACAAGGATTGGAGTATCCATTCCTTTGTGATAAAGAGAAGTAATTTTTATCTGAACTACTCCAAGATGAATATAACGAACTTCAGGATATTAGTTTTTCCATCGCTCTATCTTCTGTTTGTCAAATAGAGCTAGTTCTGCAGTTCCTTCTAAAGTGCATCTTGCTCTAGTGTTTCCAAACTATTCTAATTGGTCTTGGGAGAAAGAGGCTTCTTCTTTTTTGTAATTAATAACCATTCTGGCCTTACCGCATTTAATTTCACTATGATTTCTTACCATGAAGGCTGGACTGGAATGAGGACTTGTGGTTTCTTCAATTAACTTCTTGTCTAGGAGTTCTTTGAGTTGGGTATCAAACTTTTCTATTTTTTGAGGTAGATCATGGGTTTAACACGTATAATTTCATTAGGGTCTCTAAGTTTAAGCAGGGCCGCCCTGAGATTCCCAAAATTTTGAGAGGCCTTTCAAATGTGAGGCCCTTTAAGTTTCACAAGCTCAAAAAACAATTATAAGAGTGGAATTTTCACACGATATTTTCAAATTCTACAACTAATATAATTATGTGTATGTGCCGTGTGCATAAGACAACTAACTAATAACTATAAATTTATCACCACCAACAAATAATTGTGCGTCTGTGCAGTGTCCATAAGACAACTAACTAATAACTATAAATCTATTAGACTATTACCATCAATAAAAAATTGTGTGTGCCTATGCAGTGTGCATAAGACAACTAACTAATAACTATAAATCTATCACCATCAATAAATAATTGTGCGTCTGTGTAGTGTGCATAAGACAACTAACTAATAACTATAAATCTATCACCATCAATAAATAATTGTGCGTCTGTGGTGTGCATAATCAGAAAAAGAAAGGATGTTTTAGTCTATACGGAAGATTGAATCCCACCCTGATTATCCATGCAAATATACCTTAGTTGTCAAAACAATAGTAAACAATTATTTTCGAGGAATCCAAATAAATAATGTACTTGTATATTTTACTTGGAATTCATTATTCCTTTATCAATTCTATGGAATTACAGAATACCCTAAACAGAGAAACCCCCGCTAGCTGAGAATAACTCCCCATTCCCTTACCAAATTCTGTGGGTATATATACATATATATTATATATACATATATTTTTTTAATATATATATACACACACACATTAAGTACTCATCGCAGTAGTATATATATATATATATATATATATATTTACACGCACAAAGGTCATCCGATACCCCATCATCTCTGTCACTTACTCCCTCTAAACTTCATTAACACCTCTCTGCAGCTCATCAGACCTCCGTATTTAGATGTTACTAGTTATCAATTAAATCCATAATTCCATACAACTCAACAAATCATCCGATACCCCATAAATTGGAATTATTGGATGAGTTACTTACTTGTAATCTTTTCGGCGCTGCTCCTGATGAAACTGAAGCTAATCTCCCAAACACAAACCCAAATCGTATCCTTAGACTTCGAGCCTTCGAGGAGCGACAGTAGCCCTAGAACACAATTCGTTTTTTCATTTTTTTCTTGATTCGAAAAACATAAAAATGGGTAAAGAAATTAACGTTTTATTTCTATTATGGGCCAACATTTTTTATTTCAGTATCAGCATTTTTTTCTGTAGGATCAACTTCTGTTTTGGGCCAAATTTTGAAGCCTAGTACAACTATATAGGTTGGGCCAAAATTTAAGACCCCAATGTTATTCGCTTGGAAGGTTCTCATCCATTTCCTTTCCTTTGTATTGCTATTAATCTTCCGGTAACAAAAAAATAAATAATTAATTAATTCGCTATTGATCTTACATAAATTATTAAGAAATTTAGTGCAATAGTTGGAGAAAATCCTCAAAAAAAAATTTTGAAGCAAAACAAAGAAATTTGAAGCAGAATTAAAAAAAAAACGACGTGGGGGGGAAGAATAGGGTTTGAAGAAGAATGCAAAATTTTTAGGGTTTCAGTTTGGAGAATAGAGAGAAATAGGAGGCAGATAAGATGTGTACCTGTGGTCGCCGATTTTCCACACGATAAAGAAAAATAATAATAAAAGTGCAAAACGATGACCAAAGCTCACTGTTTAGTGCTATATATCGATATATATACACGGAGTATATCTAAAGGGAAAAGTATTGGCGGTGCTGAGAAGGATAGCATCAGGCCCCTAATAAATTTTTATCTTTTTTTATTAGAAAAAATAGTGAATTTTCTATTTTTTAAAAAATAGTGAATCCGTGTATATTTTTCCCATTTGAAAGGAGTATTAATTTTGAAGTAATTATATTATTAAACATATCATAGAATTAACTAAAGAGTAGGGTTTTTTTGGTGTCGTATCGCGTGAGTGACAACACTTCTATTAAAATAAAGTTCATTTATTGTATGGCTTTATTAGCTTATTTCAATTTTTATATAGCTTTATACTTAATTTCAATATTAAATAAGATATGTTTGAGAGTGTCGAATAGGAATTTTGGGATTAAAAAAAATATATACACTGTAATTAAAAAATTAATTATATTTTATCTAATTTCAATTTCAATATATGAATTTGGTACTTCTAAAATCAAAATCATTGTAATGACGTCTTTTCCAAAAAGTATGGTGAACTTTTTTTTTTTTTTAATAGAGTAAATTACATTAACCTCACTTGAAGTTTAGACAAATTTGTTGAGCATTTATTACCTCACTTAAAGTAGTAAAATTGAGGTTGGACTTAACTTTGCTATTTTATTAAACAAATCGAGTTCCATACCATGTTCATTTTCAAGTTCAGCTATGTTTGTAAATTTATCATTGTTAGATTTGTGGCTCAAAATTAACGCAAGAATTCTATTATGGAAGAATGCAACTCATTATGTTTTAGTGGAACTAGTTACGTTTGGGCAGAATAGTTGGATTCGTGTTTCGAAGTAGTGGAACCGGTTGCGTTTTAGCGTAATCATTTGTGCTTGCCTGATATGTGCAAAAATGGCTTTCTAATCAATTTTAGAAGCCAAAAGACTTTGGAAAAAGACTGAAGAAGTGGGGAAGAACTAGTGCTTGCTATTTTCGAGTTAAGATTGATATAATAATCCCTTGTAGGCAAGTTGAGGAATATTTATCCAACAAAGAATTGAGTTTGAAAACTTTATAAATAGAGATGGGTGTGAGAGGTTTTAAAGAAAGAGATAAGAGAGAAAATATATAAGGGGTTTAAGGGTGAGTCTTGTGGGGAGAGTATATGAAATTCCCGAGTGTATACATGTAACCTCAAAAAAGATGATGAGTGAGTGAGGTCTTGACATCTGGTTGTATATTCTCCTCCTTGATTTATAATAATGAAATTTCTCTCTCAATTAACGTAAACCTAGAGTTGGGTGGACCATGTAAAATATTGTAATATGCTTGGATGTGTATAATTGTTCTCTCCATATATATTTGTATTAATTGTAAGATATTTTCTTATATTTGTGGCCCACATGATTTGGACACGTGATTTATTTCTATTATTTGGTGGTTAAATAAAACAGATATAAGATCAATATTATATTATTTGGTCAACTTTTAAATTACCTTTATGGTAATTAATTATCGGAAAAGTGTTTTCCTATTTATTCCTTACTTTGATGGAAAGTGAAATTAAAGTTATTAAAAAAAAACTGGTCATCTCTCTGCCTTTATAAAAGTGCATATTCCCATTAATTCTGTACGCTAATGAAACAACACAAATAAAGTTTTTAAGTGTGTAAAAGGCCAAGAGAGATAAATCGGTTAGCATATTCTTCGTTCCGTAGAAAGGATCTCAACATTTGCCTTGATCTCTTCAAGTTTTACAATTACAGACCGAGATATTTATATCTAACTATTTATTTATGCATTATAGATATGTGAAAATCATGAAGATCTAATATGTGGGATTCATGTAAATCATGTGATTAATGCTTGACATGAAAAATTATAGTTTACATTGATGTGATATGATGATGTTTCCTCTCTGTGTGATGAAAGAGAGATTTAACTCTCAACAATAGCCCACCGTTGAGTAGAATTGGGAGAGTTAATTTTTCCCCAACAACAATCATAAACATTTTCAATTAATCTACAAACCCAAATAATATTACTAAATGAAAGACAAAACTTATTTAAAGGTTGATAAATCTTCTTCCAATTTGAGTTAGTTTACAACTACTCTTCTGTGTTACCATTATTATTTTTTTAATTGATTTCAAAGAATTAAGCATATATCATTGAAATACTGATCCTCGAAAATTAGAGTATCTCAAAACTATATCGTTAATATGCATGTGTTGTGTTGTCTAATTGGTTGGGTTGTTCCCTGTGTTCGAGCATTATACCCTTCCCTTCCCCTCTAACCACTAACCCCTAACATTCTTACCATGAAAAAAAAAAAATGAGAAGGAATATTTTTTTCTTATCCCAAACAAACAAAATACTACACAAACTGGACAAAATAGTCATTTTATATGGCCTATATTTATACCTATTAATTTATTATACTGAAATGAGGTTATTATCGTCATTTTAAGTCTAGGAGGCTATTTGCACCAAATCAATAGTATAGGTATATTTTACACTACACATGGACTATTTTGCATTATATCGATCGTAACCCTTTAGTTTTGGGGCTTATTTTAAAATTCTAATACTCCAATGGCCTTTAAAATTATTAAAAATAATTTTTGGAAGCACATATACTTTATCTATGCTTGTTCTCGCCAAGAGGACCAGCCACAATGAAGACCCAAATGGGTATAACCTTTAGGACAATGCTTGGTCCTCCCTAATGTGAATCGATAATATTTTAACACCCATTCAAATATTAATAATATTTTAAAAAAAAAAAAAAAATGGGATCAATCTCTCAATCTTCTCTCTCCAATCTCCAACAAAATTACCTTCATCCTCTTCTTCTTCCCAACATTCATTTTGAAACCCTAATCAATCTCCATCTTCTGCATCAAACACCAAAAAAAAAATGACCTAAATACGCAAATGAAGGCTCATTTATTATTTGGCTTTGTAAGCTTAATTTCAATTTCTAATAAGGCATCTTAGAATTGAAAGAAATTTAGTTAAAAAATTAATTATATTTCCTCCCATTCCAATTTCAAAGTACGAATTTGATACTTTCAAACCTAGCATTGATATAATCACAGGAAAATGACTTTTTAAAAGAGTAGGTTGAATATCTTTCTTTTACTACTACTCATCAAGAGCTCTTTTATAACAGCCCTAGCTCCAATCCATGGTCTCCTCATTTCACACCATGTGAATGCAACATCTCCAATCCATGGTCTCCTCATTTCACACCATGTGAATGCAACATTTACATTCACAATTTAACGTCGCAATGTCATTGCCTAAGAATATGCTGCAAATGAACCAAACCAAGTTGAGCTTTAGACTGTTCGAGCTTGGATCGACTTGGCTCATTGAATAGAACAAATTGAGTTCGATCTCATCTTTGTATTCAAGCATTAAAATGAACAAATTTAAAGAACACTAAGGAATCAACAACATATCCTAAAAAAGACAACACGAGTCATCTGCATCCCCAATACATACCCTCCTTAATCATAAGGGATTTGAATATATGCTGCATCGCACACAAATGGAATGTCGGCATACATGCCAGCAAGAGCGCACCTTATGCACTCCAGAACCGTGAAAAGGTAAGCAAATGCAACAGCAGTCCAAAAATGCATACCAACCTTACCCCAATATACAGCAAGTGGCATCCAACGGCTTACAGTCCCTATCACCTGCAAGGCAATCTCCAGTAGCATGCCCATCACCACATGAAACCTAAAGAAGTGAGGCCATTCCTTTTTCCTCACCACTCCAAGATACGCAATAAAGAAATATGCCATTAAGAACCAGCTCGGCAATCTACCAAGAGCTTCCAGGAAAGGGTATGTCAAGAATTCTAAGTCCTCCAAGAATGGATGGAGATGATATGCCGTCTCAGCATACATCCATGTCTCGTGGAGGGGCATTAAATATGGCAGGCACGCTAAAGTCCTCCACCACCATCTTGGCTTCTTGGTCATTGCAGGGTACCGGAAACTGTAAGGGACATCCTTCGACGCTCTTGGGGACATAAACGACCTCCGCCGCCTGGGTAGCATGGGTATTCTATCCGACAAGCCACCATGATCACCACTTAAAAGTGGCGTTGACGCAGCAGAAAGACGCAGAAGTGACGGTCCTGCGGAAGAATATATACACAGAGGGAGAACAAGGAATAAGAAATACAAACACGACATAAAATCTTCAATGTGCTCTCAAAATTCAGTTTTATCTAAATGAGGAATGATTTGCATATTCTTGTTAAAAAGACGAATGGACCAAATGAAGAATTTAATCCATTTGAAATGAGGCCCAAAACAGGAAATTCTTTTATTATTCTCTTTTGAAGCAGCCAAAAAAAAAAAAAACAGGAAAGTAAGAAAAGAAACAGAAAAAGAAAAAGAAGTGAAGGACTTTTTTAATAGAAAAATATTCCAATGTGTTTTACCAAGAACAAAAAGATATCCAATGTAATGTTGATATAGACGCACTTCGCAATTCTGTTTCCTTTTGGCAGATGATCAAAAATGATGTGGGCATCCTGATTAGTTAACAATATGCAATATTATTGAGATATATGATTAATATAAGATATATATTTTTTAAATAAGACTCTCAACTAGTCACAATCAATCCTACCCTTGCTGGATGATAATCATCCATAAAGCTGGACTAGAAAGAAACGGCATTAAGGCTTCTTCGGTTTGGTTCATGTTTGACATAAAAGTGGAGGAAGCCATCTTGTGGTTGTGGTCAAGTCTCTCAGATGTTGCTACAAGGTCTTAGGTTTCAAATTTCTGTTAAGTTAAAACGCCATCTCAAAAAAAAAAAGGTTGGGGCAAAATAGCATAAAATGGTGTGGGATTTGGAGTAAAAAATTCAATATAACAAAATATAATTACATATACAAGGCATGAACAACCACTTTTTTCTTACTTATCAAAAAAAAAAAAAAAAACCACCACTTTTTTCTCAATGAAATAGCTTTACAGAAAAGGAATCTTTTTTCCTTCACTTTTTAGAATCATGTAAGTCATTTGTCCACAAGACAAAACCTTCTTGAGCCAAAAACTATTACTAGGCTGTTAACTACCATCTACTTTAAAAGCTTAAGCTTTTAATTATCAAGGTGACAATGAGGTTTGAACACAGGACCTTGCTGCTCTGATACCAGGTTAACTACCATCTACTCTAAAAGCTTAAGCTATTACAGAGGGCATAACTTTAATATTTAAATCCTTCAACATAGGCCATATCAAAAGCTTTACTATAAATAAGAATTTTGTTTTTCCTAAAATACCAAATGCAAATTTAAATAAATCTTACGCATAAAGAACCAACTTGACAAGTACATTTACAAACCTCCAAAAGATAAGGATTTTAATTCTTGACGAGGTCCCCATGAACTCCTGATGCTAGAGGATGGAACTTTGGCAGGCAAACAAGGGACATGGGAAGCTGAATAATAAGACATGGAGTTACATGTCCTATAATTCAGAGCAACACTCCCACAGAACGGGGAGCATCCGCTTAAAATCATATTCAAGTAAATTGTTCAGACCTAACATAATACGAACAGTATAGAATATTGATCAGAAATCAGGAAAGAATAAGCAAAACTACCAATAAACAATTGAAAAATGAATATTCTATTCTACAGTATAAAATGTCTTTAATGAAATACTAATTTTTAACCGATCTTGTCTAGCTCAACAGCAAAGAAAACCTGCACGTATACAAACGTATCCTATGTCAAAAAGTTATAATCTAAAATACAATCTCATCAAACCAACCCTCCATTTATTTTTAGCAGCAATTACATATGCAATAAATTAAAGGCTTTTGTCAAGAGACTCATAGGCTATGGACTGTCATCAGTGTAAGCTAGAAAGTGTGAGCTCATCAACTGAAATACTATGGCAAAATTGTTTATCAACCTGATCATTATAATCATAATCTCAACAATACCAACTCTGTGGTGACAAGAACCGACATATTATGTGGTTATTGACTGTGAGAAATCTGTCAGAGGCACAGAATATAGGCAAAAATGTCACACTTGTCAATTGTTCCAACACATTATAATCAAATCTAAATTATATACAATCTGAACCAAACAGACTTTTCTAATAATGCTAAATTTTTCTCCCTTGCTGTCCCTAACTTTCAAACTGTATGTGGTAAACATAATATTTCAGATCTTAAATACGCATCCACAAGCTAGTAAGAGAGAGAAACGATACAAAGTCTAAACTTTTCTTTTTGAAAGAAAAGAGTAAAATGATGCACTTTAGGAAATAAAACAACTTGCTTTATATTAAAAGAGGTTCAAAACCACAAGAATTGGACACCATTATTTTTTGCTGGTGCAGAACTAATGACAAGATGTGCTAACTAATTGTCAATGAAAAGAAATCAATAATTTGAATATCTTATCCAAATACTTCCTTTAGCAATTATTATAGAATCTTTCCAAGGTCCAAATATTATGGTAAAATCAGAGTTCTGATTTATCCCAAAAAAAAGAGGTATAATAAATGAATCTAGACCAAAATTTTACTTGCAATCTTCCTGCTATAGAGGCCTACATGCTCAAATTTCAATATTTTCTTCATAAATAATCATAAAAACCTGCAAAAACAATAGAACGACTGCCTTGGTGTAAGGAAACTCGGTCATGCATGTTGTCTTCTAAAAAATTTGTAACATCAGTTATGCTATGGATGGAGAAATGATTACCAAAAGTTTGCTTATATGAATGTCAAACTCAAAACCCACCTTGAGATACCTTCCTGTATCCCTTCAAATTTTGAATTATATCGCCCAATGATGTCATAGTTGTTAAAGGCTCAAGGCGCACAAAAGCGCAAATGCCTCCTGGAGCCTGAGGCGCAAGGCGCAAGGCGAGGCGCGCGCCCGGCTGAAGCAAGGCGCGCGCCCGGCTGAAGCAAGGCGCGCGCCCGGCTGAAGCAAGGCGCACATTAAAAAAAAAAAAAAAAAAAAAAAAAAAAAAACTACCTAATAAAGTATTAAAGATGCAAAAGTATTAAAGATGCAATAGTATATATAAAGATGCAATAGTAAAAGAATGAGTCACTCAGACTTCAACAGTGGAGAGAGAGAGAGACATAGTAATGTTATGTATATAACTATATAAGCATTTTGTTTCATGCATCAATTAATACCTAACATGCAACAATTCTCTTTTATATACATAGACACAGCCCTTACTCCATTTAACAGCACTGCCCAATTTCCTTCACAAGGGTCACAGCCCACAATTTAAAGTCCCAACAGTCAATATACAACTTCCAATTGTATCTCACATGCATCAATTAATTCTTTTATATATTACAGAGGACCAAACAAATAGAGGACCAAAAACAGAGGACCAAACAAATAGAGGACCAAAAACAGAGGACCAGCCTAAAAAAATAAATAAAAAAATAAAAAAAGAGCAGAGAGAGCCGAGAGAAGAAGAAAAAATAAAAGAAGATCAAGAGAGCCAAGAGAAGAAGAATAGAGAAAAAAAATAAATAAATAAAAATAAAAGAAGAGCCGAGACTTGGCTCAAAGAAGAATAAAATAAAAAAATAAAATAAATAAAATAAAAGAATAAAAAAAAAAAAAGAGCAGAGAGAGTCGAGAGAAGAAGAACGGAGAAACAAAAAAAATAAAAAAAATAAAAGAAGAGCAAGAGAGACAAGAGAAGAAGAATAGAGGGAAAAAATAAATAAATAAATAAAAGAAGAGGTATCGGCTCAAAGAAGAAAAAAATAAAAGAGACTAGGGAGTAGAGACTCGAGAGAGCTGAGAGAAGAAGAAGAACTGAAGAAAAGAAGAAGAGAAGAAGAAGAAAAGAGAAAAAAAAAAAGTACCGAGAAGAGATTCAAGAGAAGAAGAAGCAAGAAGGAGAGAAGAAGGAGAGAAGAAGAAGAGAGGGAAGGAGAACTTACTAGGCTTTGGCGCAGACGCAGATCCGGCAGATCCGAGAGTCGGAGTCCAAGCTTCGGCGCTTCGTACAGCAGTACTTCTCTGTCTCTGGAGTCTCTTCGTTCCTTTCGCCTTTTGATTTCTTTTTTTTTTTTTTTTTTTGCTTTGTAACTTGCAAGTTGTATATAGGTTTTGTAATAGAAATAAACAAATAATAAAATATACAAGTAAGACAAGTTACACAACCAAAATAATAACAAAATATTAAAAAAAAAATTATTTTTCAATCAGGCGCGCCTGCATCTCGCCTGTAGCCCAGCGCCTTATCCCAAAAGGCGCTCGCCTATATCAAGTCCCTCGCCTTAAGTCAATCAAGGTGCCAAGGTGGCGCCTGGAGGCGCCTTGCGCCTCAGGCGCGCGTCTCCGGCGCCTTTAACAACTATGAATGATGTAGAATTGATTGCTGAAGCCTTTATGACCCATTTGGACCGCCAGGGGCCAAACAGGCATACTGACAGATTTTCTGGGCTGATCCCGAAATGTGCGTTTTTAACCCGGAAAGAGCCCAGTTTTATCAAAAACGACCCAACTCGCAGATATCAATAGCCTCGCTGCTGAGGTAGGGCGCCTTTTGGCCAAATTCAATCGTTTGGCATTTTCTCATTTTTTTATATTTCGGGATTTTCGTTAGAAGACTAAACGGATTCAATTTGCTTTCTTTTTTGGTATTTAGTAGTTTTTAGTAATTAGATTTCTTTCCTTATTTTTACAGAATATTCAAAGCAAGTTTGTTTTTAAGCAGTTTCCTTGCGCTGCTAGTGTGTCCTTACATTTTTAGGATTTCCTTTATGCTGTTAGGGTTTTTATTTATAAATACATGTACTGCAGAGCAGATGATTCATTCAATTATCAATATAAATATCAGATTTCTCTGAAATTATCATTTGTTTTGTGGATTCAAAACACCCACCGCGTGAATTCAAGGTAATCTGTTCCTCGTGAACAAATTTATCGCTTGTCTTTTCCTGGTCTGATGGCAGATGAACGTGGTGATGGCAACCTCGATGGTGACGAAGATCAACAAAGAGAGGCTTTTTAGAGGGCCGAATTCCAGGACTTTCGATAGACAACCCAATAGGCGTTGCAAGAAATTCAAGTAACCCTTACTAGGCTCGCGTTAGGTCCAAATCAAAATCGTGATTACAACAAGGGATGAAATATTGACGAAGATCGCGCTCGTCCTTTTTGGAATTGTAATCCCATCCCGCCGCGTAGGCAGCCAGCCTACGAGGAAGATTTCAATGATGATGACTTTGCTAAAGAGGTGCTTGGGGAAAATAGAGGGGCTGGAAGATATTAGGATCAAGGAGATCGTGATTCTAAGGAGTTTCGTATGAAGGTGGATCTCCCCAATTTTAACAGTAATCTTAAAATTGAAGACATCTTGGATTGGTTGGCAGAAGTTGAGAGATTCTTTGATTATATGCATATCCAAGAAGATAAGAAGGTAAAACTAATGGCATATAAACTCAAGGGAAGAGCTTCTGTCTGGTGGGAACAACTTCAGGTTGCTCGCGTACGGCAAAGGAAGACGCCAGTATGGTCCTGGCAGAAGATGCATCGTCTAATAAGGGGAAGATTCCTGCCACCAGATTATGAGCAGACTCTATTCCAGAAGTATCAGGACTGCAATTTGAAGTCGAAAGGTTCAGGCCTATACGGAGGAATTCAATCAGTTGGCATCTCGGAACGACCAAAAGGAAACTGAGATGCAGCAAGTTGCTCGTTATCTAAATGGTCTACGATATGCCATTCACAATAGGGTATCAACACATAATTTACACTTTACCAGAAGACACAAATGCAACAAACCAGGGCAGAGGCCTTTATGGAGAAAGCGAAAACACCGGCTGGCTCCAGGAATTACTTTGATTCAACGCGTTTAGCGACGAATAAAGCAAAACAACCCATGTATTCTCAACCTTCCGTTCCAACTATACCTGATTCAACTAGCACCAGTACTCAGCCAAAGAAGACCGGAACAGCTCCCATAGCAAGTTGGGATACATCCAAAAATAATCCCTACAGCCAGCCAAACCCCATTAAGTGTTATCAATGCGGGCAGCCAAGACATCAATCTAATGAATGTCCCTAAAGGCGCTCAGTCAACTTAATAGAACCTGGGGATGAGGAGGATCAAGATAGAGACGATGACGAAGGGTTTCCTTTACACGATGAGCAAGAGGAGATCGGAAAAGATGAGGGGGATCTACTCTCACATTCTTAAGTTGTGCTAAGGCTATTACTTGCCCTGAAAATAAAAGAGCATCCATAGAGGCACAATATATTCCGGACACGGTGCACTGTCAATAAAATAGTCTGTGATGTTATTATTGATAGTGGCACTAGCAAGAATATTGTGTCAAGGGCGATGGTCCTGAAGTTAGGGCTGAAAACAGAGAAGCATCTGAGTCCCTACAAAATTAGTTGGACTAAAAAAGGGGCAGACACAAGGGTTACAGATATCTGCCGGGTTTCCTTTTCTATTGGGAATAAGTATATTGATGAGGCGTTGTGCGATGTTGTTGATATAGACGTTTGTCACTTGATTCTGGGCAGACCATGACA